GTACTAAGATGGGGAATTTTTGCCTTTTCCCATAGCTTTTCCTTTGTGAAAATACTTACATTTGCTGAAACCACACCTGCTCCTCCGTGGCTAAAAGACTCCTTCTGCTTTGGAGCTTGCAGTGATGATCCAGTACTGGAGTTCTTCCAGCCTCCCTGGCATTCTGCGGGTGGGGAACTGAAGCCCGGGTGGTGAAGGGCCTTGCTCTGTCTCTGGGAAGTCGGGATTCCATTTGGAAGCTCATGATAGGCACATTCAACTGTAAAGTGACCTCACTGAATTTTGACAGTAATTTCCAGTTAATTTGCCTTTTTAAAAAAATTTTATTTATTTGACAGAGACACAGCGAGAGAGGGAACACAAGCAGGGGGAATGGGAGAGGGAGAAGCAGGCTTTCCGGGTAGCAGAGAGCCCAATGTGGGGCTCGATCCCAGGATAGTGGGATCATGACCTGAGCTGAAGGTAGACACCTAACGACTGAGCCACCCAGGTGCCGCCCCAATTTGCCTTTTTTTTTTTTTTTTAAAGACTATTTATTTGTCAGAGAGAGAGAGAACAAACGGGGAGCAGCAGGGAGAGGGAGAAGCAGGCTCCCCCCTGAGCAGGGAGCCCAATGCAGGACTCAATCCCAGAACCCTATGCCTAACCAACTGAAGGCACCCCTAATTTGCTTATTTTTTTATTTTTTTAAGAGACGGGTTTTATTGAGGCTGGAAGGGAAAATGTTTTATCATATGTCCGTGTGTGTGTGTGTGTGTGTGTGTGTGTGTGACTATCCACGTATTAGGTTTTCAGTTCAATAGGACCAGCTTTTTGAGGAGGGGAAAAAAATAAAAATCAACCATGAGACTTTTCTGTTTGATCCTACCTAACGGTGTCAGCAGGACAAAATGATGGTGGTGTCAGCAGGACAAAATGATGGTGACGTCAGGCAGCGGATGCAAACTCTTCCGCCGCCCCGGGTGCTGCGGTAACCAAGGACGCCTGCTGTGCGCACTGCCCGCCGGCGGGAGAGCACCTGTGTGTCAGCAGATTCTGTGGCTGCGGAGTTATTTTGGATGCAGAGAGATGCTGCTGGAAGTTCCCCCCGACAGCCAGAGCCAGAGCCGAATGTCAGTTTTCACTGCACATCTTGGGTGTCAGGAGAAGGCGTAGGATAGTGAGGTAGTTAAGTGACAGGACCTGGGCAGAGATCAGTCTAGTATTTTATCACGTATTTCTATTCCTCTTACTTCTTGATTCTTGGTAATGCACGAGGGAGCATTCCACGCTTTCCTGTTCATACTTCAGCCGAATGCCCCAGTAGCCAGGGACTGTAAGAGATGCTACTGGCCAGTGAATACCAGAACTTTCTTTTTTACTCTCTGCTGTGATGGACCTCAAACCCTTAGAAGACGAAACAGATGATGGATACCCGTCCGTCCGTCAAACAGGCTTGAGGATTGTTGTCATTTGCTCAATTCTTTTTTTTTTTTTTTTTTTGGCAGAAGTATTTAAAGTACATAGTATCATTACAGCCCTTAAGTGGAACAGCGTGAAGCTTGAGAATAAAAACCTTATTCTACATTTCATCCCACCGTACAAAACTACAAAACGTTTCTTTCTTTTAAGACCAGCAAAATCTGGTCGGAAGTGCTGGTAGAGTAGATGGGCAGTACTTGATCTGTTTAACCCCTTGGGGCCTTACCGGGACAGGAGAAGGTGCGTGTCAGTGGAGAGTTGAAGGGTGTGGGTACAAGCTTGAGGGTCTAGTGTCAGGTCATCCTGGTGTGCTCTCAGCCAGCCCTCCTCATCCTCGGGGCCGGCGGTGGACTCTCTGAAAAGAAAGGAAAATGTCTGTTGAGGATGGCGTGACCGCCCTCACCTTGCAGTCTTCTTTTCCTCTCCCTGCATGGAGAGCTGAGCAGAAGAAAACCGAAGATAAGAATTCTCTGTGGCTTATTGAGGGAGGGGGATCTGGCCAGCGGTTTTGCTTCTTTGCCTTTGACGGTTGTTTTTGTTTTGTTTTTTTAAAGATTTTATTTATTTATTTGACAGAGATCACAAGCAGGCGGAGAGGCAGGCAGAGAGAGAGAGAGAGGGAAGCAGGCTCCCCGCCGAGCAGACAGCCCGATGTGGGGCTCGATCCCAGGATCCTGAGGTCATGTCCTGAGCCGAAGGCAGAGGCTTTAACCCACTGAGCCACCCAGGCGCCCCGACCGTTGGTTTTAATGACTAAACAGCATTGCGTCTTCTGAGCTGAAATACCCTAGGTGTCATCCTGCATAAGAAAAGATCTTTCCCCAGGGCCTGGGTGGCTCAGTGGGTTAAGCCTCTGCCTTAGGCTCAGATCATGATCCCAGGGTCCTGGGATCGAGGTACGATTCCCGCTTGGCAGGAAGCCTGCTTCTCCCTCTCCCACTTCCCCTGCTTGTATTCCCTCTCTCGCTGTGTCTCTCTCTGTCAAATAAATAAAAATTTAAAAAAAAGAAGAAAAAGATCTTTCTCTGCTTTAATCCTCAGGGCTGTGTCGTAACTACTTGGTGGAAGAATGGAGTCTGGATGGTCACTCAAGGGCCAAGAGCTTTGCCTGGCTGCTTTTTACAAAATGTTTTCATTAAAGATTTAAAAATTAAATTTTTATTTGAGAGCAAGATGAGTATTTGTTCTCAAAAGAGCATTCCTTTGGAGCATATACTGCTCCTTTCGAAGTGTCCCGTGTATCCCTTTCTTGCCTCCTAAGAAGTCATACTGCTTTGAATTCCATATTTATTTTTCCAGCGATTGCCTTTAGTCCATCACTGTGTATATATTTGTATTCCCAAACAACATATTGTTTAATTTTTTTTTGTTTCTGAAATTGATAGCGTTCATCTCCATATTATTTTCCTGAGATGATCTGTTTGTGCTTGTGTGTGATGTGTTTTTACCAAGGTTCAGGAGTCTCTTGCCTGAATGTACAACGTATCTTTCCATCTTCTCTCTTCTACAGAGAGTGCTTCTTCGACATTACCATAAGTATCTCCTGTTGCAGCAACCGAGAATGTAGTATATACACACCCAGGGGTAAGACGAGCACTGGCCCATTGCATGGGCCGTCTTTGGAAGGGACAGACAGCACCAAATGGTTTTCCAAAGTGGTCATGCCAGTTTCCACTCTGAGCAGACTTCTCGTCTCTCCCTCTCCCTCCCCCTTTCTCTCCCCACCCCCACGGTTGGGTGATTGGAACATGCATGTGTTTTTTCAGGTTTTTACATTTCTCAGTCATGTACGAATCAGTCATTGGCTCCGCAGGGCCGCCATCGGGGGAGATGAGTGTCACCCTGGCTTCCCACATGTCTTGCTCCCCAAGGTGTAACCACTGTGACCTCTGTGTGTCTGTTCTGGTATCTGTCCTGCATGTTGGAGGCTGACCCCAGGAGAGTGCGGGGCTGGAGATTACTGGGAGCTCTGAGTGTGTCAGGGGTCCTTGTTGGCCAGTTTCTCTGTGGGGTGATCTAGGGGTGCTGGTTGTTGGTGGACCACCCCCTCAAACCATTAGTCTCTTTGCATCTAAAGCTGGTCTGATTCTGCAAAGAACAGCCTCCTGTCTCCAGTCCGGGATGGTGCAGGTGGGTCAGGGTGGTTGCTAGTAGTCTGGGGGTCTCGTGGGGAGAAGACAGGTGGTGGTGGGGACGGGGGCGTCAGCCAGCCAACGAGCAGGGACGCGAGTGAGCATGGTGTGCTCTCATGTGTGGGGTGACCCATGGGTCTTCTGACTGACTCTGAGATGAGCAGTCTTCTGTGGAGCTGCAGGAGATGAAGGGGTCCCACAGCTCTCACACGGCCCTATCCGGTCCTCTCCGAAGCTCACTCCTCTTCTCAGCCCGCCCCCAGCCTGACCTGCTGGCTCCAGTTCCCAAGCCCTTGGACACTGAGGAGTCAGGTGATGCCTTGGTCGGCTCTGTCTCCACCCCTGGCTTCAGATTCTTCTTGCTCACCTGGGTTAAGCAAGTCACTGCTGGTCACTAGCTTCAAAACATGTTGTTTTGGTTTCCCCATTATCTTTGTCCTTATGGGTTTTTGAGTTTTAAGAAATCGCCTTCCTGTGGTTCCAGGGAGCTCTGCCGCCATAGGAGAGCTCTTAATAGAGGTCTCTCCCTGAGATTTGAATTTGCATTTCCCCGAGGATTAAGAGAGCCGATATCTTTTCACACGTCCGTTGATCCCCTTTCGATTTTGTGGCTGTTCAGGTCTTTTGCCCATTTACTACTCTTGGTTTTAAATTCTCTGCCCCTTCTTTGTCAGAGTTCTGTATTCTGGATACCAACCCTTTGATGGTGTTTGGCTTAGCTCTTTACTTCATGGTGTGGAATTTTGGTGACCAAAGGGTTTTAGTTTTAATGGTGAATTTATTGATATCTTTATTTGTGATTTACATTTTTTCTATATTATTTAAGAAATCCTTTCCTACTCTGAAGCTGGATACACGTTCTCCCCTAGTCTAAAAAATTGTGGTGTGGCCTTTGCATTTAAGCCTTTGTTCCACTTGAAGCTGGTTGGAAGCATGTGTGATGATAAACGGGGATTTGGCTTCAGTTTGTGCCCAAGGATAATGGACGTATGTCGCGCAGCACGTGTCAGCCCGTCTGTGAGCCGTGCTCTCAGCTCTGCGTTACCCATCCCTGTTCTGGGAGGCTCGCCTGCGTGGATAGACGGAGTTCACCATTTTTTGTTACTGCGCGGGATTCTGTTTTAGAAGTATCCCGCAATGTATTCATTATTTGTGGATATTTGGGTGGTTGATTGATACTTGGATACAAACAAGGCTGCTATGAGCATGTTACACGGGGTCTACATGCTGGGGCTCCTGTGGGGCTCGATGGCTCCGGACCTACTGGCCTGGGGTATGCCCGTCTCCATCCTCACTCGCTGTTGCCAACCTGAGCTCCACACCGGTACTAGTCTGTTTGATTTTGATTTTTTTTCTTCCAGTGCCCGAAGACCTCTCCTTAGAAGAGAGAGAAGAACTCTTAGACATTCGTCGAAGAAAAAAAGAACTTATTGATGACATTGAGGTAAACAAACCGAAAACTCCCCTTAGTTTTAGGTTTTAGGTAAAATAATCAGGTAGCTTCATGAAAAGGAGAAGACTAGGCATCTCCTATGTCTGTGCGCTAACGCGTGAAGGGAGTGAGAGTGTTTCCCCACGTTGGTAAAGCAGATGGGCCTCGCCGGGCAGTGTGGGTGTACGTCGAGAGGCCACGGAGCTGGAGTCTGTGGTAAGCGACGCGTGACTCCAGGGTCACAAAGGGCACGTGTAGACAATGTCTGCAGTCCCCAAACATGTGTTCTCTCAGGTTGAATCAGTCCCCATTCGTTTGCCAAAATCCCAGGCACTAGAGCCCATTGCACTTCTGGTGCGCGGATAGGCCCTGAATGAACTTACAGACTTGTCTTGGGATCTGGCCAGGCCCCTGCGCACCCCCGGGCTGGTGGGAGCAGGATGATGGGGCGTGGGCAAACGCCATGCTTGCCAGTGTCTATGTCCTCGGAGCCAGTGGTGTCAGGGCCTCACCAGAGAAGCAGCGGCGCCACACCACACCACCCCTCAGGGTCACAGTGTCTGTGACCGTGGCAGGAGGGACTCAAGAGACTAGGCCTGCTTGCACGTGAGGCTTCTGTGGGTGCGTGAGTCGGGTGTGTGGCTCCCCCTCGGGAAGCGCCCTCAGCTTCGTCAGGCCAGAGTGAATGCGGCCCCGCAGCCACATGCTGCTGGAGCAAGACTCGTCCCTCCTCAGCCCGCATCTGAGGTCTCAGCTTCCTTGGTGAACCAAATAAGTGTCCCAAGTACACATTTCCTTGTGCTTGAAAGATAATTTGTGGGACTTTTTCTTGTAAGGTTACCCTTCATTCGTGTAAAAATCACTGTTCCCCAGAATGGGCGTTTTGCTTGAAGAGTAAGGATGTATTTTAAGGCTCATGGTCCTAGTTGGACATTAGCAAGAAGAGCACCTGTGGAGGCCCAGGTCACCCTAGTGACCGCGTCTTTGAGTTGAGAACACTGAGGCCCAGAGGGGTTAAAAGGGTTGCTGAAGGTCTCTCAGGTAGTGAGTGGTGGATCCACGTGTGGGGACGTGGGAGCCTGTCCCTTCTGGTGTCCTCGGCAGGTGTCCTCGACAGGCCTCCTGGGCTCTGTCCATGGTGCTCAGTCTCGGGCACAGACTGGTGGCTTGGGACCTGACACTGGTCTCAGCACCTTGGCCCTGGTCTTTCCCCAGAGGAGAGGGAGACCATGGCTGTGAAGAAGGCGGGGGTTAGGGGGGTGGCCGGGGCCGGGGGAGGAGGGACTGAGCAGCCTCAGTGAGCTAGCTGAGGGCTCCCTGCTTCCCTTTGCGGTTGTGTTTTACACAGAGTCTAGAACCTGCCCCGGTGACCCGTCCGAGCTTGTTCTGGTGACAGGCGGACAGATGAGAATTGTGCTTTCTCCTGGGTTGGGGCCACTCCGACCAGATGGAAAGTACTGGTGTTTCTGTCCCCGGGACGTCCACGTGAGGCATCAGGGAAAGCTCGCGTCTGGGAGACTGAACTTTCTCTGAGTCTCGGAGGGGGGCGGTAGAGAGCCCCTCCGCAATTGTCGATCTGCTTTTTTTGGCAGAGGCTGAAATATGAAATCGCTGAAGTGATGACTGAGATTGACAATCTGACTTCAGTGGAGGAGAGGTAAACAGTCGGCGCCACACTGCTGAGCTACTAACCTCTTCTCTCCCTGCCTCAGCTGCCGGCTGACCACAGCGGGGGCAGGACAGTGGGGATCGCGAAGTGGGGTGGCCGTCGGGGGGCTGCTGGTGCCTCGGCTCTCCACCCCTCACCCCTTCCTGCTCTCTGCGGAGGAGTCGGGTGCTGCCCCGGGGGCCGTGGGTCTCCTCTCCCTTCCCTGGAAGCACAGGCCCCTCTGAGTTAGCCTGGGAAGAAGCGCCGCTCTGTACAGCAGGGGACGGTGCTCTCCTTAAACCGCTCTTTGTCATTGTCAGCTTTTTCTGAAGCAGGAATCAAGCATAGGGAAGAGCCTGGCAGCCACGCGTGCCGCCTCTGCGGTGGGGGGTGTGGGGGCGGGGATGGGGGGCGGCGGGGCGGGGGAGCCCGGGTGGTCTTCTGCACTGAGGGCCTGGCCGGGGAGGCTGCGTGCCCCCCTGCCCTCAGTGCAAATGTTCGTTCGCTAACAATTTCTTAACTGTTTGAAATGTGTAGCAAAACTACCCAGAGGAACAAGCAGATCGCTATGGGGAGGAAGAAATTCAACATGGATCCCAAAAAGGTAAGTGGACCTGCCAGTATTCTGGCCTGCGAGAGGTTGCGTGAGTCACCGGTTTGATCGGCTCTCACTCTGGACGGAGGTGGTCACGCCCCCTCGTAGGTACTGAGAGTGGGAGCTACGCTGGTGTCATGTAGGGGCTGTCGGTGAGTGGGGTGAAGCACAGGCATCCGTCGCCCTCGTCCCTGGACCCGAAGGCCATTCTTTGGGTGTGAGGCTCCGGGTGAGGCCAGGCCGCGGCAGCAGCGGGCGTGGGGAGGCCCTCGGTGGGGCCAGGCTGAGCCGCGTGTCTTCCCGCTGCAGTGCGGCCCTGGGGACCGGCGGGCAGGGCTGTACCCTGTGCGTCTGCTCGGGGGTTCAGTGGTCCAAGTCCGGGGACTTTGCTCCTTCCGTTCACCTTCGAGAGCAGATGTCCGCGTGAAGGGCCGGGGAGCTCTCCTGATTGAAGCCAGCACCAGGTCTTCCCTTGAGTTGGATTTTCTAGCAAAATGCCCGAAAATAATGAAACCTGCAACACATAGGGGCGTGTCTTTGAGGTTGAAGCAGAAGACTCAGCAGAGCCCGTAAACGCTTTCTGGAATGCTGGGCTCGGCCGCAGGACCATTTGGTTCTGAGACAGAAGAGTGGAGCCGGGCCAGCCACCAGGGCTCGTGTCCCGGAGAGGAGCACCATGTCCCCGAGCAGCTGACTTCATTCCGCCATGATCTCGAGGTGGCAGTCACATCACACACCTTCCTTGGCATTTTACTTATTTATTTTTGGCATTGAGCCTCTGTGCTAATTAAGATTTGTTCGTTCAGCAAATGTCGATTGCAAGGACTGCACTGTGCAAGGTGTGAGGTCTGCACACTTGCACTTCCAGGTGCAAGCGCGGTTGCAAATGGTACGTAAAGAAATGGCTTGCCAGCATGCCTGCTCCTAGGCCTCATCGCGCCGGAGGCCGGGCTTTGTTCAGCCGGTGTCCTCCCGGCTCTGCGCAGTTTCCCATCGCTTCCTGACTCTGCGTCGGGGCATCCGCAGCCCCAGATTGGAATGCGGCGCGCTCCAGAAGGATCTGTGCATTTGGTAATGATGAGGTTTGGAGTGAGAAGCGTTTTGTTGTTGTTTTTCCTTTCTGGAGGAGCTGAGTTGACAGAGTTGGCTTAATCAGCAGATCGGATAGGCACTGGCGGCGTCTCAAGAGGCGCTTCGCGGGGTGGGGGTGGGGGGACGACTGTTTTGAAAATCGGATCTTCAGTTATATGGTGCAGTGCAGGATAGCACCTTGGGAGCGTCCACGGCCTCCCCACGCAGCGTGCAGACACCCTGGTGTTTCAGGGATGCCCTCCTCCGCCCGGTGCCAGCCTGTCCTCTGGTTCTGCACTCACCGGGTGTCTGCCGTGCAGTGTAGTCGGCAGGGCCGCCTCACGCTTTTTGAGAACTTGCCACGTGTCAGCAAGCGCTGACGAAGGCCTGGATTCGACACACCTGACCTCACTGGGTGGGCTCCGTTTTCATGCCTGGGGCACAGAACCTCTCAGACGTGCCCAGTGTCCTGAGCGAGGAATCCGCCTCAGACTCGGGCTTGTGACCACCGCACTTCGCTGGGCTCCTGTGGGGCCCTGGGGCTGGTTTGGCAGCACCCCCAGGAGTCCAGCCCCCAGGAGTCCAGCCCTCAGGAGTCCAGCCCTGCGGGATCTCTCCACCACAGCAGCTGAGTTACCTGCCTTGCCTGGGCTGTGGCCGGCTGCTCCTCGGGCTTTGTTCTGCCTGTATACCCCTCCACCTGAGAGGTTTTTAAGATACTGATTATTGGTTCTACCCAACAATTTATTGGTAATTATTTACAAATTTAGCCTGCACATGGCCCTTTGCTGGGGACAAATAATGAGAATTCCCTCGTCTTCTAGATGATGATGACACTCTGGCCGCTGTAACAAAATACCATAGACTGGTGGCTTAAGCACTAGACATTGACTTTTCGATCGTTCTGGAGGCTGGAAGTCCAAGCTCAGGCTGCCAGCATGGCTGGGTTCTGGGGAGTGCTCTCTTTCCAACTTACGGCCTCCTCCTCACAGAGTCCCCAACTGGCAGAGAAGAGGCAGGAGAGCGCCCCCTAGTGTCTCTTTTTAAAAGGGCCCTGGTTCCATGAGATCGCGGCCCCGCCCAATGGCCCCATCTGACCCTAACTGCCTCCCAGGGCCCAACTTCTTACACTGTCACACTGGGGGTTAGAGCTTCCAGATAGAGATCTTTGGGAGACACATTCAGTCCAAAACAGCACAGGGCGTTCTCACGTGCGGTGCGAAACGGGCTCACATCAGAGACTTTCAGGCCAGCAGGAAATATTTGAAGTCACAGAGTGGTGACATTCTGGACGGGAGCTTCTGTTTCTGTAGGTACATGAGATACACGGGCAGCACTTGGGGGTATAAATGAGGAAGAGGAAAGGTTGATTCAGGGAAGCTGGAAACATCCTACAGCCTCTCTCTTTCATTCCTAGTTTCCTAGAAATGCCTTAAAAAATATAACATACGACTCTGTAACAAGCAGGAGTTCACCCACTTGACTAGAAATTGAGGGAATCCTGGAAGACAAAAGATGAATGGTGGCCCAAAGGACACTCAGGAAAGATTTACTCTGGAAGGGACAGCCACGTCAGGGGCTCCGCTCCCTCGGGCAGCACGTGTGGGGCGTGGGACCGCAGAGGGGACATCCAGACTGTTTACCCTTGGCTGAGCTTGTGCCGAGCAGCTGTGTGTGCCCCCAGGTGGGAGACGCAGGTGTCTCTTCTCTGCTGGCCTCACTGAGGAGGAGGAGGAGGAAGAGAAACACCCACTCCCAGAGACCAGCTTCTGAGCAACCCAGCTTCTGAGCAACTCCAGAAGCAAACGGGGTTCAGTTGGGCTACCAGAGAATTGGAAATACAAAGGTAATCACCCAACCAGGAATCACCAAATGTATGAGCTGCTTGACCCTGTGAAAGAGACGTGAAATGCCACAGAGCTAACACAGGAGGAATCATTGAAAGTATGTTTTGTATATTATAAAGCTCATCAGAGATGATGGGGTGGAGGCTTATCCTTGGTGCAGGGAAGGGGAGTTGTGGAAAAGACCCTCGGAAGCGAAGAGCCAGCTCCCTGTGAAAACCCACCGCTCCGGTCTGGGATGGGCACACAGGCAGGGCAGGCTCTCCTGTTCTCTGTTGCTCTGCGGAGAACCATGAGACGGCGGGAGGCAGGTCTGGCCAGAGTTCATCGAACAAAAGTCCCAGGAAGAGAGAATAGAAGACAGAGTGGAGGGTGAAATTCTGGAGTATTTCAGAGCTAGATGAAGACAAAATCCTCAAAATCAAAGGGTTCACCAAATGCCAACCAGGATAAAATTTTCAGACACTGATCCATAGAAATATCCAGGAAAATACCAGAAAACTTACGGATAAAGAGAAATTCATTGACTTTCCAGGGAGGAAAGACAGATTACCTAAGAAGAAACCAGGATCACAGCAGGAACACTGGATCAAATGCAAAGGGAACTGTTTTCCAAGGTCTAAGGAAACGTGATTTAAAACCTAGAGTTCTGGAGAGGCTGGTGTAGACGTGCAAAAAACCAAATAAAATAATAAAAGCCAGCATTCTGAATCACAGCTGTCACCTGTGTGAGGAGGCAAGTGAGGACATTACAGATGTGCAAGGACTCACAGAAGGAGCAGCTGACAGGTTCCCTGAGCTCTAGAAATCGTGTTTGGAGCAGGGCATCTGTAAACAGGACAGGAATCCAGGATGCAGGATTAAACCACTGGAACGACAGTCAAGTCTAAAGGAGAGCTTGATTGTTGAAAGAATGTTTTAAAAGTTAAAGTCCCAGAGATGCCTGGGTGGCTCAGTCAGTTAAGCATCTGCCTTCAGCTCCCATCATGATCCTGAAGTGCCAAGATCAAGTCCTGCATCAGGCTCCCCGTGGAGCGTCTCCCTCTGGCCCTCCTCCTTCTTGTGTTGTCATTCTCTCTCTCAAATAAATAAATAAAATCTTTAAAAAAAATTAAAGTCCCAGATTACCTCAGTACAGTTGACCCTGGAGCAGCGCTGGGTTTGAGCTGGAAGAGTCCACTTACCCGTGGAATTTTTTTTTTTTTTTCAGTACATACAGTACAGCACTGGAAATGTATTTTCTCTTCCTTAGATTTTCTTAGTAACGTTTTCTTTTCTCCAGCTGACTGTTGTAAGAATGTTACTCTAATATTGTGATACTATTATAAGAATACAGTATATAACATATGAAACGTGTTAATTGACTGCTCAGGTAATGTGCCAGGCTTCCGGTCCGTAGTGGGCTATTAGTTAGGTTTTGGGGGAGTCAAAAGTTAAATGCAGATTTTCGACGGGGGGTGGGTATGAGGACCTATACCCCCATACCCCCTGCGTTGTTCAAGGGTCAGCTGTTTGTAAGTAGCAAGGGAGAAGGGAAGCAGGTCAAGGTTGGCTAAGGTTTTGTAGATGTTCTTGGATGAGTGTACTTTAAATATTAAAATTTTATTTATTTTTTTAAAGACTTATTTATTTGTCAGAGAGAAAGTGAGCACAAGCAGGGGGAACAATAAGCAGAGGGAGAAGCAGGCTCCCAGCTGAGCAGGGAGCCCAATGCAGGGCTCGATCCCAGGACTCCGGGATCATGACCTGAGCCGAAGGCAGAGGCTTAACTGACCAAGCCGCCCAGGTGCCCCTAAGTGTTAAAATTTCAAGAGCAACCACTAAAAATAGGGATAAGATAGGATTTAAATTACTAGGAAAAATTGCATAAAGAAAACTTAATTCAACAGAAGGCTGAAAAGACATGAGAAATACCTAGCATATGTGAAGGCTCGGAAAAGGAGTGGCGACAAACCGGTAATCGCCGTCAACTTGATTGGGCTCAGTTACCTTTTAAAAGCACCTTCATGTTAGGTTGAGGAAGCAGCAGTGAAATGCGGTTGTCTTCTGACTGAGACACACACACGGAGCAGACACGGAGCTTGAGAACAAGGAAGTAGGAAAAGATACACGAGGTGTAATGGGTTGAATGGTGCCCCCCTCCAGTAGATTCTACGTTTGCTTTTCTAAATGATATATTTTTAAAGACTTTATTTATTTGAGAGAGCGAGCACAAGCAAGGGGAGCAGCAGAGGGAGAGGGAGAAGCAGACTCCGCCGAGCTGAGCTTGGCTTGGGGCTCCTCTGGCTGCATTCTGTAACCTTGAAGCACGGAAGAGGTGACCTTGGGCTGGGCCTACTTGGTCTTCTCAAATCCTGGTTTCTCAGGCTGTTGCATAGCCTCCCCAGGGAGCTCCCGAGTGTTTGAATTTTAGAGCAGGTCGTGAGCATCCAGAGCTTGGGAGAGCCTCATCCCCAGGCTCGTTCAGTTCTGGGCTGGGCCTAGGCTGTTGGAGTTCCTGGTACCTTGTGACTGTGGGAATTGCCAGGCCTCAGGACTCTGGGGACCGCTGTGAGGCTGGAAAGAGCACAGGGCAGGATGGATGAAAGCCTCTGTCAAAGCCCCCCCCCCCTCCCCCCCCCCGACGGTGCACAGCAGAGTCCCGTCAGCAGGCAGGAGGAGGCACGGGGACCTGACCGCGGGACAGCCTGCTGCTGGGGTTCTCCACTGCTCGGCATCCCCCCATCCCCGGCCGGCCAGTATGAGCCGGGGAGATCACCCCAGTTGTCAGCCAGGCACCCATCCCCCAGGGAGCACCTGCTTCTACTGGCCCTTGGCCCCAGGACCTTGGGCTGCTTTGGATGCTCTTTCTCCTGTCCCTTGCAGTTTGGTGGGGAGGGGCGGACAGCAGGGTCTACCGGTTCCACCTGCAACCGGTCTGTGAGTCCTTGGGACTCGGAGTCGAGAGAGGCAGACCAGGGCTGCTTTGGCCTCTTACCTCTTGGCCAGGGATGTTAGGTGAGACTATAACCGTCTACCCCTGCCCAGAGCTCCCCTCCCGCACAGAGCCCTGCCTCACTCACCCTGAGAGCTGGGTGCCCACAGCGCCTTGTTTCTGGGGCCTTGCTGGACAGGCATGTCCTTGGGGTCGGAGTGCTTCCTTATGGTGCATGCACGTCCTCTCACGAACAAGACGATCCCCGGGAGGCCCGGACTCACGTGCGCTCCCACCAGAAATAGAGAGTTAATTTAGGATCATCAGACACACTGATTTCCTTGGTAAACTTTTTGAAGAACAGCATATGGTGCACAAACTTTGAATGCACAGCCTGACGAATTTTTACACATTAAAGTCCTTGCATAACCCAGAGCAAGATGCGGTGTCAGCATCAGGAGTGTCTTTCTGGTGTCTCCACCTGGCGAACAGGTTCCACGCTGCATAGAACAGTGTAGAATTACGGTGCATTCCATGCGGTCCTTCACGCCGTGTCACGTCTGTCGGACGCGTCGATGTTCTGCTGCATTTATCCTCTCTCGTTGCTGCATCGTGTTCCCTCGTGTGGAATCTGCTGGAAAGATTTCTCTCTCTCGTTGGTCAGATGTTGTTGGGTTGTTTTCCCATTTGGGGAAATTCTAAATAAGGCTGCTGTGGACATTCACGTGTTTGAAAAAAAAATAACAAGGACTCTCGGAGGGACCCGGCGGTGTAAGGGAGCTCAGGTCCTGGGCACAGAGCGTGGTGGCTGGACAGTCTTCTCTGGAATTCGTGGAAACAGAGGCAGATGGAGGGCGGAATCCCCTTCCAGCTTTGCAGCCTGTGTTCGGAATCCAGCTCACAGGCTGGCTCAGAGGTCGCCCTTCTTAGGGCTTCTCAGGAGAGGAGCACAGCTGATTCGGGCCAGGGAGGCGCCTCTGCAGCCTTTCATTTCGAAGTTGTCACCTGAGCCCTTGAGGGCCTTCGTGGGTGTGGATTTGCACGGCTTCAGCTCCGTGGCACAGACCCGTTACCGTGCTCAGCCACAGCCCACAGATCTCATCAGTGCCGCTTCACAGCGGACTATCTTCTCACACAGCAGACGTGGCCACAGGGAGTCCAGTGGCTCCCACGTGACAGGACCCTCCTCCCCTGTGCCCCCCCAGCCCTGTGTTCATCCGGGCCTTTCCCTCATCCACTGGCCGTGAGGGTTCCGGTCGTCATGTCTGCATTCCAGGCAGGAAGGAGGGAGAGGGAGCTGCTCACGAGTCCCTTTTGATCAAGAAAGTAATAGCTTCCCCGGGTCCTCTGTCCGGACTTCTTTCTGACCAGGAACATGATTATTTAGCAAGGAATGGCAAGGAAAAAGGGGAGTTTGGGAAGGGCGTGGTTGGCCAACTATATACAACATGTTCCTCTCATACACAAAGCAGATCATTCTCCCGAACTTGGGAAATCGGGTATCATGAGTACCTCTGCCTTTATAATCTCTAATATCTTCTTTGTGATATTTTTTAAAGATTTTATTTGACAGATGCAGCGAGAGAGGGAATGCAAGCAGGGGGAGGGGCAGAGGGAGAAGCAGGCTCCCGCCAAGTAGGGAGCCCAGTGCCGGGCTCGATACCAAGACCCTGGGATCATTCCCTGAACTGAAGGCAGACGCTTAACAACTGAGCCACCCAGGCACCCCCTTTTGATGCTTTGTTCCGTAACCCCTTTATTTGTCTTTTAGCCCATTTAATTGCCAGGAAGGAGTGAATTTGCTTTTCTCTGATGGACAAAATGTAGTCTGGGGTGTGAGAATGAGATCGTCCTGGTATTTTTGCCGTGTCCCAGCCAGTGAGATCATTACTGTAGATGTACTTGTGTCTTTGAAAGATGAGTCTGGGCGACCCTCCTAACCAGAGCTTCCTTTCTTATGTCCCTCTTCAGGGAATTCAGTTTCTAATAGAAAATGACCTGCTGCAGAACTCCCCAGAAGACGTAGCCCAGTTCCTGTATAAAGGAGAAGGCCTAAATAAGACTGTCATTGGGGACTATCTGGGAGAAAGGTAAGTTGAAGGAGAACCAGCAGCCCAACCAGTGCCCGCCCTCCACGTCAGGGTCTGTCAGTTACCTGTGGGCATTGGGGCACACGTGCTACTCCCTGCTCCCGCGCTGACCCAGTGCCGTTACAGCCTCTCCCTGCCTTTGTGGGGAGAGAGGTGTGGGTGCTCTGGGGCCAGGCGGGGGCTGTGATCTCTAGAAGCCCTTACTCAGGGAACCATGGCAGCATTGAAACTGGGCTGCCCCTTCTCCATACCTCAGAAAGCATCTTTTTTTTTTTTTAAAGATTATTTGAGAGAGAGCATGAACATGTGTGTGTGAGCATGTGGGCGGGGCAGAGGGGGCAGAGGAAGTGAGACTCCCAAGCAGACTCTCCACCGAGCACAGAGCCTGACGCAGGGCTCGATCCCATGACTCCGTGATCATGACCTGAGCTGAAACTGAGTTGGATGCTCAACTAACTGAGCCCCCCCAGACACCCCCTCAGAAAGCATCTTAATCTTCTTTTATGATTTGCTCAGAAACAGACCAGAATTCTCTCATCTTAATCTTTCATGATTTGCTCAGAAATAGACCAGATTTGCTCAGAAATAGACCAGGGGTTTTCTTCCCCCTGTTGCTTGGGGTAGGAGTGAAGGTGTGAAGCTATTAATTTTTTAAACGGATTGCTGCTGGTTGGGTTTATAGCCCCGGCCTTCTTTAATTAAGGGTCCATTGGCTGTGTGTAGCAGAGGTTGGGGAGGGCATCTAAGGCAGCGCATCCCTGAGTCAAAAACCAAACAAAAGTGTTTTTAAACAGGAGCCCAAGAGTTGCTTACCTAGAGTGGTTTCTGTTTCTAGCTTTTTATTAAAAATAGTTGATCAAGGTGGAAAGCAGAACACTTCCTATCTCATTCTGTGTGGCCAGTAGTACTAGGGACCAAAACCAGAAATAGCACAAAAACAAAACAAAACAAAATGAAAGCCCTACAGAGAAGTATCTCTTATGACTACTGAAGCAAAAAACGTCCACTAACTCTCAGTAAATCTAGCGGTACAGACAAGTGGTTATACACCAATACGTTCATCGCATGCATGCCTTCGTTACCCCAGGAATGCAAGGTTGATTCAGCATACACAAGTCAAGGTGATATACAGGATCAGTAGACTAAAGAGCAAACCCACATGACCATCGCAATAGATGCTAGAGAGGCTTTTGACAACATTCACTGCTTTAAGACAAAGGTGTTCAACAAACCAGGAAAAGAAGGGAACTTCCTCAGTATGATGCAGGCACCTGTGAAACCCACAGGCTGACTTCATGCTTTCTTCTAAGAGTGAGAACAAGATACGGTTGACTGCCCTTGCCACTTCTCTTCAATGTGGTACTGGCAGTTCTAGTTAAGCAAGAAAATGAAATTAAAAGCATCTGCTTTGGAAAGGAAGAAATAAAACTTTGTTTACAGAAGACAGAACTGTGTCTGTAGAAAATCCTGAGGAATCATTAAAAGCATTAGAACTAAGAAACAAGTTTGGTAAGGCTGCAAGATACAAGAACAATATGTAAAATCCAGTTATAGTTCTAAATGGTAGCAATGAGCAAGCCTGGAAAAGATACTAAGAAAAACAGCTCCATTTTATAATAGCATTTTATAATAGCATTAAAAGAAATAAAATACTTGGGAATAAATTTAACAAAAGAGGTACAAAGTATTTAGTCTTAACTAGAAAACTTTAAAAAAAAATGAAGACCTACGTAAATAGAAAGATATCCCATGTTCATGGATTGGAAATTTGAGCTAGAGATTTTACTCATTTCCTATTAAAATCCCAGCTAACTTCTTTGTAGAAGTTGACCTACTCATCTAAAATTAATGTAGAACATCATGGGACCCAAAATTGCCACAACCTTGGAAAAGAAGAACAAAGTTGCAGAACTTAACATTTTCTGACTATAAGACAGACTAAAGCTACAGTAATGAAGATGGTGTGGTACTGGTATAAGGATACACTTCTAGGTCATGGAATAGAATTGAGAATTTAGAAATAAACCCTTAAATTTTTTTGTCACGTGATTTTTGACAAGGGTGTCAGGACAGTTCCGTGGTTGAAAGAACAGTCTTTCAATGAATGGTCTGGGACACCTGGATATCCACATGCAAAAGAGTACCATTGGACCATTCAGGTTATGCAAAAATTAAACTGAATCAAAGAACTACATGTGAGAAGGAAAACTATAAAACACTTAGAAGGAAACATAGGGGTAGGTCTTTGTGACCTTGGATTAGACACGAGTTTCTTAGATGTGACCCAAAAACATAAATAGCAAAAGAAAAATGGGGGTAAATGGGACATCATCAAAATTGAAAATTTTTGTGTTGGAAAGGACATCCATCGAGAAGGTGGAGAGGCAATCCACAGAATAGGAGAAATTTTTATAAGCTACGTATAAATCTGATAAGGACTTCTTTTTTTAAAAAAAGATTTTATTTATTTATTTATTTGAGAGAGAAAAAGAGAGAGCATGAAAGGGGAGAGGTCAGAGGAAGAAGCAGACTCCCCACTGAGCAGGGAGCCCAAGGCGGGACTCGATCCCAGGACTTCAGGATCATGACCTGGGCCAAAGGCAGTTGCTTAACCAACTGAGCCACCCAGGCGCCCCCTGATAAGGACTTCTATCTAGAATACATGAAGAACTCCTACGACTCAATAATACGGCAGCTTAATTATAAAATGAGCAAAGCATCTGAATGAACATGTCTCCAAAGAAGATACGTGACTACGTGATAAGGCCAGTCAGCACACGGCAGCATGTTCAGCATCCTCAGCCCCCATCAGGGAGCTACCACTTCCCACCCACGAGGATGTCTGTAATAATAAGACATGCACCGCCCAGGATGTGGGAAAACCTGAGCCTTCACACGCTGCTGGTCCCATTCCCAGGGCCATGGGAAGCAGTTGGCAGTTCTTCAAAATACTCCCGTCTCCGTGCGACCTGCTCGTTCTACTCCCAGGTGTTCACCCAAGAGAAGCAGAAACGTCCATCTGCCCAAACACGCACGAGTGCTTGTGGCCGTGTGGCTCTCGGTCGGCAGAAGCGGGAAGCGGTTCCGATGTCCATGAGCTCGGGTGTCCCTCGGCTGGTGGGTGGATGAGATGCGGTTCATCCGGGTGGTGGGCTGCTGCTGGGCGGCAGGGAGAGCGGCAGGGAGAGCAGCAGAGTGCGGGTGCTTGCTGCCGCGGGTCTGCGATTCCCTTTATGCAGAGCGCTCGGCAGGCGAACTTAGGGAGGGAGACAGCAGACTCGTGTTCGCCTGGGCCTGGCAGATGGGGCGATGGGCTTTCTTTTGGGGGCAGCAAAACTGTTCAGAAATCGATCGTGGTGACAGTCGCACAGATCTGTAAATATATTAAAAGCCATTGAATGGTATGCTTGAAATAGGACAGTTGTATGGAATGTGGATTATGTTTGAACAAAGCTAAAAAAAAAAAAAAAAAAGAAAGAAAACCCACAAGAAACTGAGCAGCGGCCCAGGGCTGCAGTACCTACTCGTCTATGCCACGAGGGCCAGCGTCTGAGGTCACCATCACTGTGGCAGGTGCCTGAGACGAACGAGGACGGTTGTGGGATACGCTGGCTGGCGGCTCCTGCTGTTGGCGTGTAGTGCGTGCCTGCAGGTTTTGAGTTCCAGAAAATGCCAAGTTCCGAATCTGTGCCAGGCTCTATTTTAGGCACATGGGTTGTGTTGTTTTTAAAAAAAAAAAGATGGACTCATCCACTCGTGAGCAATCTTCTGTTGGGACGATACAGGTGAAAACCACTTCTCCCGTCTGCTAGAAGGTGCTGGGGCCGAGGAGGAGCAGAAGCACGTAAGGGCATCGGGTGGGCTGCGGTTGGCAGTTAGGCCGGCTGGTCAGGCTTGTCCTGTTGAGAAGGTGACGTTTGTGCCAGGCCATGAAGGGGACGGGGGGTGTACTGCAGGCAGGTGTTGGGGGAGAGCAGGACAGGCAGAGGGTCAGCGTTCGGGGCCGTGTGGCTAGAGCAGAGGGAGAGGAAGGGTGGCAGAGGTTCTTAGGGTGATGACGGCCCCCTCTGCCCCTTGCTTGGGGTGGGGGGAGGTTCCCAGTCCAGGAAGGACGTGGTCTGATTCACAGCTCAAAGCTGTGGGGAATTAGGGGGGTGCATCCCGGTGTGTAGGTTCAGAGAGGGGCCCGGCAGGCAGGAACCCGAGAGTGGGAGGCTCGCAGGTACTGTTCACATCGCGGGGAGTGTGGCGATAAAGGACCCATGGACTGAGGACCAAGCCTCAGAGGCCACCCTCGAGGGAGGACTGGCTACAGCAGGAGTGGGGGCGCAGCCGCCCCTCAGATCACTTGGCCTCTCAGGTCCCGCCTTGGGGTCTTCACACCTGTGCACCTGAGCCCAAGAGGGGGCCAGCTCCTCCCCCAGGGACGTGCGGTCCCCCAGCTCTGCACCCCGCACTCAGCAGCGCTGGAGCTGGGACGGTGGGCACGCGCCTTCAATGCCGACCCCCATGGCTCTGACTTGGTGGGCGCTGCCCTGTGTGGGCGCTCAGTCCGGTGGGGGCCCGCTCCCCGGTCCTCACTGCTGCCTGCCTACGATGAGCGGGTGCTCGCCGCCTCCGGGGCCGGTCCCCCCAGTAACCCCAAGGCCTCAGACAGCCGCTTGCCCCAGAGAAAGGAGGGGAACGTTGCCGCATGTGCTGTGCCCGGGCCCCTTCCTGAGGCCGTGGTCATCCTTGCAGCCCCACGGGCAGCTGGTGGGTGTCCCATTGCAGGTGCCCCTGGGCCATGGCCATTCCTCACGGTTGACAGTGGCGGGCATGTGCCTGTGGGGCAGCAGCACCCTTGTCTTCAGCAAGGTCTGGTCTGCTCTGTGGTCCAGGGAAGACCAAGGGACCACCGTCGCCTAGGGGAAGGGGAACTTTTGCGTCCTGGCCTGCACCTGTGGTGACAGCAGCGTTTCGCTGTCTTGGGCTGTCCTTACTGTCCCTTGTGGCCAGGACCTGGGGGAAAGAGCAAGGAGAGAAACCCCAGTGAAGCCTGTTGTCCTCTTTCACATGATGTAGAAGTTGAGGCCTTTGATGATCTTCTTCTGTGTAGTTTGGTTTTAAAACTCTCGTGCACTACCGGGTTTCTGCCCCAGCACCGGGCTCCCGAGTCCCGCCTGCGAAGGGGGAGCGCTGTCAGCGGCCGCTGGTTGGGAGAGCGGAGGGAGAGCGTGCGCCTGGCGCTCAGGACCCTGCGGGACTGCGTGGCTTGTACCCAGCCATGGCGGCCATCTGGAGGCTTCCGATGGCCCCTGTACCCTGATCGGCACCAACTGTGAAGTAAATTCCTAACATCCTACTGAGTCTCCTTTGTCCTAAGCCTGAAAACGAGCGTGCAGCGCAGTAGATCTTAACTTCTAGTTGTGCAAGACGAGAAACCAGACCCTTGGTCTACGTAGTAAAGGTCTTTCTTTTGAAATGACAGATGTTCTGCGCAGTGGCCTTGGACCTCACTTGCTTTCTTTTCCAGGGATGACTTTAATATTAAAGTTCTTCAAGCATTTGTCGAACTCCATGAGTTTGCTGATCTGAACCTCGTGCAAGCCTTAAGGTAAGTGTTGGAGCCCGGGCTGGCCGCGGGAAGTGTGGGAGCAGGAGACAGGCCCTTCCCCCTCTGGGGTTCCCGGGCCGCCGTCCCCTGGAGCTGCAGACAGGCCCGGAGAGGCGTTCGTGGACCGTGGGGCATGTGTTGTTTCCCCACCCAGGACTTGGCCCTTGGGTCTGGGCTGTCCTCCTGCTTCGAGGCTGAGCCCCTCTCCCCGGCCTCTGGCCGCAGACGCCAGCCTCGCAGACACCCCGGTGTGGGCCAGGGGACATGGGCACAGCTCACAGGCAGAGTCTGTCCCCGAGTCCCTGCCTTGTCCGGGGAAAGCCCGGCGTCCCTGCGCCCCGGACCCCAGGGCCGCCCTCGTCCCCCGGTGCTTGTTTCTCCACAGGCAGTTCTTGTGGAGCTTCCGGCTCCCCGGGGAGGCGCAGAAGATCGACCGCATGATGGAGGCGTTCGCGTCCCGCTACTGCCTGTGCAACCCCGGCGTCTTCCAGTCCACAGGTGGGTGAGGGCGGGGGCTGAGAGCCTCTGTGCAGGCGGGCGGGCGGCTGACGGCCCCGCACCCGCTGGCCTCCCGCAGACACCTGCTACGTGCTGTCCTTCGCCATCATCATGCTCAACACCAGCCTCCACAACCACAACGTGCGGGACAAGCCCACGGCCGAGCGCTTCGTCACCATGAACCGCGGCATCAACGAGGGGGGGGACCTCCCGGAAGAGCTGCTGCGGGTGAGCCTCTCGGCCTTGGGGCCCGCCAGGCACCTGTGGGGGCCCTCGGGGACGCAGAGCGGACGGGCCCTGTGGCCCCCGGCCGGGTCCCTGAGCGCGCCGTCGCCTGTGCTGCTCGCAGAACCTGTACGAGAGCATCAAGAACGAGCCGTTCAAGATCCCCGAGGACGACGGCAACGACCTGACGCACACGTTCTTCAACCCCGACCGCGAGGGCTGGCTCCTGAAGCTGGGTGAGTGGCGGCCGGCGGGCGGGCCCCGCGCTCGGAGCCCCCAGCCCTCGGCAGCCAAGGCCCCCGACCAGAGGCAGAACCGCTAGAAGCGAAGGCCGTTGGGCCGCGTCTGCCCGCGGTAGCCGGCCGCACGCCCCCGGCTCGATGGCTGCTGCTTTGAGCCCTGCCCTGTGCGAGCGAGGCCGCCCCGTCCGTGTCCACGGCAGAGAAGGACGCCCGGGCTGCACGAGCGTCTCAGAAAACTGCTCAGTTAGCGTCCTGATAGACCCAAGGCAGTTTTCTGTACCGGAGGCAGGTGCATTTACTGCGAGAACCTGCGTGCCTTTCTCTTGGTTTGGTGCGGCTGATTTCTGACGCGTGGTTTAAATGTGCCTTCTTGTTGTTTCCCTTCTGCCCGTGGCTCCCACCTTTCTGTTCTGTGACGGGCTGTCCCTGCTTGTCTGCGTTAGGAGGTACGTACCCAGCGGCTTCCTGCCTCTCCCCCAGCCGCTCGTTCCTCTCTCCGTCTCTCTCCCCCGTTGGTCTGTGTGAAGCTCTGATTCGTGGCTGCCATTCATCCGACCATGTGGCTTTGGACGCGCCGGGTTAGCTTCATGTAGGGCGCAGTGAACGGGACACCTGCTCCCGCGGGGCCGGGCGAGGCGTGGCCGGGACGCCAGCCTCTCTGCGCCCAGAGCGCATGGGAAGGCCGTGTGGGAACCAGCTTGCCCTGCGTGTCCTCGGGCCCGAGCAGCCTCGGGACTGCCGGTCGCCTGCTCCATCCCCGTACATCCCCGGTCGCCTCTCATACCAACCCAACAGCGCATGTCTGCCCCCCCGGACGGAGCGCGGGAACGTTCAGCGGGCTTCCTAACCACAGACGAGTGGAGTAGCGTTGGTATTTTTTGGGCAATTACAAGAATTGATAGGGTGGTTTTTTTTTTTGTTTTTTTTTTTTGTCTTGTTTTCATCTGGGGGGCGGGGGATTTCTGCATTCCTGGGACATGAGAGCCTGTGACATGGGACCATGTGTTCCAACCAGGTGTGGTCACTGTAGAACATACTGTAAGACACCAGGCCTGAGTGAGTCCCTACGGCTCTGTGTTCTTAATCAGGGGGAGGGTAAGAGGCAGGTGTGAAGATGTGTGCCAGGACTCGGCCGTTCTGATTTGCGGGCTTCCTCTGTTTTTTTCTGGCTTAGCTGAGGTTTGGGAATGTTATAGATCTTTGTCTAGAAACCCAGAGCCATAGCTGTGGAATTGGAGATGCATCTCTCAGGTCACCTCAGACCTCTGGCCCTGGGGTCAGGGCAGAGGGTGGACGTGTCTGACACTCCAGCAGCAGTACCTGGGCCCCTCCTGTCCTTGCATTGCCAAGGAGGGCCCCTCGTGTGACAATGACTGTGTAGGCCTGCCTGGCAGCCAGTGTGGCCTTGGCTCCGGCGGGAGACACACCTGCTTCTAAAGCAGGAATGAGATGAGGGAGACAAATGCTGAGTGGGGCTTGTGTTCCCCCACATGTAAGCCGTGCCCAGAGCACCCCGAGGAGCTACAGAGCTGGTGGGGTACTGAGTGGGTGCCTGAGGGCCCCCAGCAGTCAGTCAGGGCCTCGGCACAGTGGGCGGCCCAGGGTCAGCTCCTTCCATGCTCCGCCGCCACATGTACAGGTGTGAGAGGGCAAGTTGCCGCGCTGGCATTCCCGGTAGCTGTCACAAAGCTAGTGGTGATGGTGGCACTCAGACCTTGGGCCTACCAGCCAGCCGGGTGACTGCCCAGGCCGCCTCCGTACCTTCTCTGCACACAGCTGTGGCCATCCAGAGAGTGGGTTTCCAGCAGGCAGGTCCGCTCTCCACAGCTGCTGGGCCTGGACACAGTCCTGCCCACAGGCAGCCTCCCAGGAGTCTTGACGCTGGCCTGGCCCCTAGGGACAGCTGGTTGGCGTCGGGCTCCAAGGGCCAAGAAGGCAGTAAATCTACTGGAAGCTGAGGCTAGAGATGTGTTAGCTGGGCCTGGGTTAGCTCCGGGCCCTTCTCTAGCACAGGGCAGACACAGGCCTGCACACGGAGGTGCTTGGCCAGGGGCCTACAACACAAGCATAGGAGACGACGTGTGTTTTGCGCACCCACTTAAACAAAGGAGGTCACCATGTGACCTTGCTCCCTCGTGTTTCATCGTAAACTTAGTCTCGGGCCAGGTGGTGCTTCCAGAAGGCCTGGGCGCTTTGCGAGAGCACAGGAGTGTTGTGTTGCTTCGGGATCATCAAGGAGAAGTGCCTTACAGCCGCTGTGCTTTGAGAGTGGGTCAGATGTGCTAAGAACAGGCAGGCCCGTGGGTCAGAGTCGAGCTGTCCTGCAGGAGGAGGTGGGTGTCGCAGGGGGTGTGGGCACGGTGTGCCTGGGAGCAGCCGTGAACTAGCAGCAGCCGTGAACTAGCAGCAGGTTCAGAGTGGAGAAGCCAGGCTGCTTTCCACAGGCGTGAGTGCTGTGTGTGTGTGTGTGTGTCCGTCCGTCCGTCCATATCTGTCTGTCTGTCCCTCCCTGGCTCATGAGGCTCAGCCAGGAGCCTGTGTAGGCAGAGCCCATCTGTTCCCCTGCAGCGAGACCTGTGGTGGCTCCAACACCAAAGGTGGGACCCCTGCTCCCCCCTTCTCCCCTGCTGGGCCTGGCCCCAAAGCTGGAAGGGTACCTCGGGCTGGGCTGGGAGGCCTTTGGCCATGACCACCAGCCCAGGGATTAGGGTCCCCAAGATGCGCCACTGAACTCAGGAGCCCCCAGGGGCTAAACGCTGAGAAGCCTTCCTGGCTAACCCGGCGCTTCTGGTGCGGGGTGGGGCAGGGTCGGCGATGGGGCTGCGGGTGAGCAGAGCCTGGGCTGCAGCCGGAGCGCGTGTGGGCTCCCGGGACGATTCTCTTGAGAACCTGCCTGCGGGGCTGAGGGGAGGGAAGGTGCTGGCAGGAGGGTCAACGCTCAGGCGGTGTGGTGGCAAGAAGGAAGGGCCAGGGCCGTGAGGGGAGCCCTGGGGAGGCCCTGGAGGCCACTGAGGGGTTGGGTCCTCGGCTGACGGTGTGAGCCTTTGCGAGCTTCGGGCATGGAAAGCCGGGATGAACTTACGTCTTCGAGGCTTGCCCGTGGCTGCTGTTCAGAGGAGAGTCGGGGGCAGGGAGGCTGGCATGGGTGGGGGCGGTTGGCGCCCCAGCCCAGCACCAGTGCAGCCTGAGATAGACCTGGTGGAGGGCGGTAGAGTGAACTGGCCATGAGGATGTACCTGGAGAGAATCTGTGCTGTCCCATCACTGGAGGACTTGGGGACAAGGGTCTCCCGGGTCCCCTCCCTGTGAACGTGGGCTTCCCCAGGACGCCGCAGTGGAGGTCCGGGCATGAGCAGGGCTCCTGGTGCTCGGCCCTGTGCCTGGTCTTCCAAGGAACCAGTGAGGCCCCCGTCCAGAGGGAACGGACAGTTCCAGTGGGGGAGGCTGCATGGGAGTGGGGAGAGATGGGGGCGGGGGGGATGCGGCTCTAGGCCCAAAGACCCCTGGGGACGGATGTGCGGTCTGTGGGCCGCAGAGAGGGCAGCAGGAATCGGGGAGGCACACGGTCAGACCCCTCGGACAGGGACCAGAAGTGAGGTGCATGGAGCCGGGGGTGTCTGTCAGGGAGGAGGGAGACGTAGCTGGACCTTCTCCGCACAGCTGAGGCCCCCTTCTTAGTGCCCGGCGAGCCTGCACACCAGCCTCTCCAGTTGCATTTGGGCCGGCCCAAGGCCACCCGAAGGAGGTCCGATGTGTGATCAGTGAGGCAGGGTGAGGGGTCCCAGCGGGGTCACCTGAGGACCTGGCCGGTGGCTCCGAATCCCAGTGGTTGTGACTCTCCCCCGGAAGTGGGATGTCTTCCTTGCCTGGACTCCTGCAGACTCCCTGCCGGGTGGCCCTCTTACCTCAGTCCCAGGGGGACATGGGACGCCGGGGAGCGTGCCTTTCTGTCCCTCCGTGACCCCTGCCCCCACGTGACTCCCACGACCTTTCCTCCCACACCCTGGTCCCTCCGTGTCTTAGAGCCAGGCGGGTGAGCTCCGCCCCGAATGTCATGTCGGGGAGTGACAGAGCAGGGCCAGCTGCTGCTTGTGGCCACGGATTGCTTGATTCTGTTTTTTTTTAAACTTCATGTCAGAAGCAAAGGCGGGAAGTTGAAGCCCATTTGTGCTGAATAGCTAAGGGTAAAAGATTTCCTTTTCTGTAGTGAAAGGAGACGCAGATGAGCTGTGTGTGTGCATGTGTGTGTTTATATGTGTGTCCCTGATCTTATTAAGAGATTAATTCAATTGAGTAATTCCCGGACCCAGGAGTGATTGATGGTGACGGATCGCAGGGCCACGCGGAGCCCTGCGGTGACAGGATTAGGTGGCGGACAGGCCGGGGATCGGCACTGACTTCATCCTGTGGTCATTTCCATGGTGGGGGGGGATTAAGCCCATTCATCACGACTAACATTTCCAGAAAGGTGGAATTCAGTAGGCGGCCCAGGCGGCCGTGGCGGGGGCGCCGGTGCCGGCCCGGGTGGGGGTGCATGGGGGGCCCCCTGGCAGCACCCTGCGCCCACTCGGGGCCAGGCGCCAGGCCCCAGGGCTCGGCGGGGACTTGGCTCAGTGTGGGCAGAATGTCCCACCTTTCCAAGAGGAAGGGAGCTTAAGGCCGAGCTTGGCTCCTGGTGGCATTTCTGAAAATAGTCATTTCTGTCGGTCCCGGCCCCCCCTTCCGGGCCGCGGGTTCCCAGCGCATGCGGGCGCGGACTCATGAGCTCTTCTGCTTCCAGGAGGGCGGGTGAAGACCTGGAAGCGCCGCTGGTTCATCCTCACCGACAACTGCCTCTACTACTTCGAGTACACGACAGTAAGGGCGGCGGGGCTTCGGGGAGCGCAGGGCCCCTGGGGGTTGGGGGGGCGGGGACTGCGGGCCCCAGCCAGGCTGGCCGTGCGCTCCTCTCGCAGGACAAGGAGCCCAGGGGGATCATCCCCTTGGAGAACCTGAGCATCAGGGAGGTGGAGGACCCGCGCAAACCGGTAAGCTGGCCCCTTCTCGCCGCCCCTGCCCTCCGGCGGCCGCCGCGCCCGGTGACGGATGTCTGTCTGTCTCTGCCAGAACTGTTTCGAGCTTTATAACCCGAGCCACAAGGGCCAGGTCATCAAGGCCTGCAAAACAGAGGCAGACGGCCGGGTGGTGGAGGGGAACCACGTGGTGTACCGCATCTCCGCCCCGAGCCCCGAGGAGAAGGAGGAGTGGATGAAGTCCATCAGGTGCGCCCCAGCCCCGGCTCGGAGCCCTGAGGGCCCCGGGGCCTCCCTGTGCGCGTGCGTGGGAGTGCGTGCCGCTGCGGGAGGGCGCGTGCGTGCGAGCGTGCGCACCTGCACGTGGGGGAATGCGTGCACCTGACAGCACCTGAGCTCAGGCGCACTTCTGCGTGCGGGACCCGCCCCTGGCTGCGGAGACAGGCCCTAAGCTCTCTGCTTGGGGGCAATGCAGGTGCCGCCGGACCTCAGACTTGTCCTCTCTCCGCAGAGCGAGCATCAGCAGGGATCCTTTCTATGACATGCTGGCCACGAGGAAGAGGAGGATTGCCAATAAGAAATAGATCTCTCCCGGCCTCAACAGGTGACAGTAGAAACCAAAACCCCACAGCAGAAAGTGACTGGGAGCCTCCCCGACACCCTGGGCCCCGCCTCGCTCTCCCGCCGCCTCCCCGGAGGAGGCAGTGCCTGCCTCGCCCTGGCCGCTTGGCGCCTTTGGGAGGTGGTCGCTGAGGCCCCGCCGCTGGTGTCCCAATGCCCTCTTCCCGGCTCCGGCCCGGCTGCACCTGCTGTCGTGGCCAAGGGGACCTTGGGCCCGTCGTGCCGCACGTGCTCACCGGGGGCTGCGTTCACCGTCCTAGAAGCCGCTGTTTTCTATCAGAATGAGGAAGGAAAAGCTACCACTTTTTTATTCAGAGTTTTTTCTCAGATATATAGGATTATAGCTTTTATATGCCTTTTTATATTCTGAAATTATAATGAAAGATACTTTCTAACAGTAGTATTTTTAGAATGGCAGCTATAAATAACTCCCGGACACAAGTCTCTACTGTGCACTGAAGAAAAATTCTGTCTACAAGACACGCGCAACACCAAATGGGGGCGGTGGGCGGCGCCGGTGGCAGGGGGTGCGGGTGTGCCGCAGAGTCCCCCGCTTCCCTGGGCAGGGCCAGGCTCCAGGTGGCCAGGTCCCCTAGGGCTGCTCTTCAGCTCAGATAACTTTCTAAAAAGGCAGATCGTTAAAATACAAGCGACAGTTCTGGGTGTTTCTCTTGTACCTGTGGTCCCGGCACCGTCTGGGGGTGGAGCCCCATGAAACGGCTGCTGTTGGCCTGTGCGGACCCCAAGCGGCAGTTCCATGTGGTTCAGCGGAACCAGGCTTCCGACCAGTCCTCGCTCTTTCAAACCTGTTGGAAAACCAGTGTTTCTTTTGCTGACCTGATGGTAGTTGGACCCAATCTCTTGACGTAACACATAGACCAGTAACTAGAACAGATCTCATTCCATGTTTTCAGAGACTTACTCTCTCGCCGTGAGCAGGGAGAGCGCGCGCTGTGGGATGGAGGCGCCGGGCACTTAGGGTTTCCTGTAAATAGTGTAAAGCCCCGGATACGTGCAGGTGGTGGACCCTGAGACGATCCCCCACCGGGCGGCTGTCAGGTTGCTGTTGATCTAATAGTAGGTGCTCAGGACGTCTGCCGGAGGGAGGATGGCTCTCAGGGCAGCACAGGGCTGCCGCGGGCCGAGGCTGGGGTGCTGTGTGTTGGGTCGTTGCTGCTGGTTCTTCAGGACGGGCCCTGGGAACGGAGGCTGCCGGGACGGACCCTCTCCCACACTGCGTGGGCGCGCCCTGCCTCTGCGGCCTTTGGAGGTCACAGACTGTCCCCTGCAAGAGGAAAGTCCCAGAAAGCAGGCTTCAGAGCGTCGGCACCTGTGTGAAGATGTTAAGTACAAGTGACTGTTCCTGTGAGTTGCCTTGGTGCTGGAACTGACCGGCTGCGGGCCCCTGGCCTCAGCACCGCTGACCTTGACGTAGCTTTAAGTCACGCTAGATGCAAAGGGGTCTGAGCCCAGGGCTCTCCACCTTGCATCAAACTGAGTTTTTGTTTCATTCCCAAGCTTTTAGGCTTTGTTACTGTATTGATACCTCAAAATCGAAACTTTTAGTTTTTGAGAAAGGCAAGTCGGCATTCGCAAAATGCCCGGCTGGTATATATGCAACTCTGGCCTCCAGTCTTCCACGAGCAGAGGGCGCCCGGAGTCCGCAGCCCAGCACTGCGCCCGAGCACCCCCGCAGCGCCCGCCACGTCCGTGTCGCACACGGGGGGACCTTCCCTCTCTCCTTTGTCTGCCCCAGGTAGGCCCCTGGGGAGCCCGGGCTTTTGGTTGTTGGGGTTTGGCCTCAGTGGGGTCGGGAGAAGCGAGCTTAGGGCAGGCCCCGCAGGAGTGGTTTCTGTGGGCGAAGGCGCCTCCCGTGCTGGCTATTTCCCTGGAGCGAGGTAGAGGCCGTGGTGCTTAGACTCTGTAACCTGCTGTCCGTGTTCTGTGAGATCTTCTAATTCCAGGTTTTGTTGTGACAGTATTAACACGACGGGCGCACGCGCCGTCACCCCCGCTCCACCTCAGGCCGGCCTGTCCGGGAGGCCCAGCCCTGCCTGGACCTCAACACGGCCATGTTCCTCCTCCCCCGACCCCCCGGCGCCCCATCTGCACTCAGTGCTTGAATTTAGTCCCAACTCTGGCCAAAGACAAGCTTTCCTTTGGAGGCCAATGGCAGGAGGCAACGGGAGGGCTGCGTTGGGCGGGCGGCCCCGGCCCTGCCAGCCTCACTTAACACTTGAGGTTTAATTGGACGACCCTGGACCCAGGCAGGCAACAGTGTCTTCAGGATCACGGAGCAACTTTCAACAGTTTAATGTGGTACCAAACTGAATCAAGATAGGAGCTATTTATAGATGAAGCAGCATTTAATGCTTCATATAAAGCAATGCATATTTTTAAAAGTTAAAATGCATATTATCTACATAGATGTGCTTTGCTGAGAAGTTAGGTCTGTTGTAGACCCGAAACCACATGTTGTGATTTCACATTTTCTTATTTTTTCTTAGACATTTCTATTTACAGCAAATATAGTTAATATGTAAATAATGTACAAAGAGATTTCTGGAGTGTTTGTTATTCACTGTATATACTCCCACGAGCTGCATGAAGAAATATCCTATTATCTATTGATATTTTGTTGTTAAAATGAATAGCAAAATTGGAAGGTGTATGGCCATCAAATTGCAAATAACTGTGTTCACAAAATAAAAAAATGCATTGTTCAAAGAAGATTGTCTAGGACGTGGTTCTTTAAAATAGATTGTCGTGTCCAGGAACTTGCTCCCTGTCCCTCCCCGGTCCCAGGCTCAACCTCCGGGCCGAAGGGGAGCCTGTGGCTTGGGCTTTCGCAGATTCTAAGACGGTGAAGGCAGCACGAAGAAGTTGGTGAGAAAGGTCTGGTAAGCAAAGGGAGAAAACCAGCAGTAAAGAATAAGACACAAAACATTTAATTTGCTGCCATTTATATACTATATAAATTTTACATGCTGTATATTTACAGTGGGGCAAGTGCTTTTTTAATCTTTAAAAAAACAAAGATCAAACTTTAGACATCTCTGAACAACACAAACTGTATAAACCATACAGATTATTCAGATACAAACTGTATTAAATACAGTTTTCCCCACTCCATCTCCTGATGCAGGACCAGTGAATTATAAGTGTATCACAGTTTGATAGCATATCCATATTAAAAATAAAATCACAGTATGATTTTGTCTGTAACTAGAAACTTTAAGGGACCAAGCTGACAACTCAGACTCCAATATCATAGTCAAGACAAGAGACACTGTATAAAAAAGTGTTAAGTAATAAAAACATACTGTAGGCTTTACAAATAATGTTTGGATTATACATTCATAATGTAAATACTCATCATAACTGGTAAATTGATTGGAATAGTTCCACAAAGTTCAAAAACAGAACTTGTCTATAAAATACATTTTCAAATCTTGAATACAACTAAAATATGAAGCAAATTAGTTTCTAGTATCAGACATTACAGAAAACAGACTGCTCTCAAGTCTAGTTGAGAGCTCGTGAATCTTTAAATAAGTCTTTAAATTAAATATACATACTGTCAGTTTTGTTTGTACTTTTAATAATTCCATGGTTTCCCGGCGGGTCTTGCACCGGATGTCTGCCGTGGAGGAGCTTCCCATGGAATGCGAGCGGTCCACCTGAGTCTGATTAAGCAGCATTTGAGATGTTCCAGTCCAGGGCGTCACTGTCCGTGGGATTTATATACACGGTGTTTTACAATGGTCAGCAGTTGTAGAAAGTGTTCGTCCATTTGGAATAAGGGTAATTAAGAAAAGGTAAAAACTAAAAAAAAGTTCTCCATGGTAAAATCTGTACAGTATTTACTAAAGAAGCACCACGCAGATTTGAACAAAGTTATTTTCTAGATTTATAATTTAAGCTGGGTTGGGGATGGCTTCTGTTGAACACGTTGAATCTGAAAGACAAGAGGCAGCAAGCAGCAGGCATTAGTACCTCCCGAGGCAGGCAAGTGGGCGCCGCTGGGCTGGGGGGCCCCAGGCGGGGCCTGGCCGTCCCTAACATCGACAAATCAGTCGTGGACTTCCTTTCGGCACGGTTCCACCCGATCTCTGGGGGCAGCTCTTCTTCCTTACAAAGGTCCCTTTGCGATCACTCTGCCTTCCGGAAGGGCAGGAAAGGAAGGGGCTGCTTGCTCCGCCAGGCAGGCCGCGTGTGCGGAGGGGGCCACCTGCTGGGCGCGGGCCGCCAGCTCGGGCCGGCCGCTGCTAATCGGCTCAATCCTTTAATTCCCTTTCGCTAGAGAATCTAAGTCCTTACTTAGGCTTCGGAGTTTTCCTTAAGACACACCGAGAAAGGTTAGTTAGCTGCACGTTAACCTTCCGCAGACAATTCGGGGAAATCCGTTTCAAATCCCCCCGGCTGCCTACAAGTCACACACTGGACACAAGTCCCTTCAAGACCACGACGGCACACTCTCCTGTCTACCTCGGCAAACGCGGGCCCCAAACGTGAGGCACTAGCTCCAGGGCCACGGGAGCAAATGCCAGCAGTAAGTCACCAGACTCCGTCAAAGTCGGGATCTGCCCTAAGGCACCCACACCTCATTCCAGGAAGGCCGAGTCCTTTCTGTCAGAAGTAGAAGTCGATGTGTTCTCTAGGGCTGCACAGGGACCCGGGGCTCCCGGCCTGGCCGCCAGGCCTGCAGGTGAACCGGTCAGGCCTGGGGCACGTGAACCCCTTGTTCTCCCAGCGTGGGGACCCGTGGCTGTGTGTGGGAATGGGACTGCCGGGGGCTCCTCTCCTAGGCCAGTTGGGTAGGTCTGGGTGGAGGAAAGGGGCTTTTCCTTCTGTGTGAGTCCTGGCCGTGTCTGGGGCCTGCAGCTTTCCCTCCCCTTCTTATAAGAAGGGGAGGGGAGGGAGCAGGGTGGCGACGCCTGAAGTAAGGGCCACCATGTGCCCAAGCCAGAACGGAGGAGGAGGGAGTCTGCCACCCTTGCCGGGGGGCCTCCCACACCTGGCTCCCCGCAGCACCGCCTGTCTCCCCGAGGCCCCAAACTCCTTCATCTGGGTCCCCTCGGTGCCTCTATGGACGAGTATGAAACATACAGATAGGAAAACTGCTTACCATAACTAGTGAAATTTTTGTTTTGAGGCCAAGTTTTCAATCACCTAGAAAGCAAAGAATCAGGAAAGAAATTTTAATGATAGTTTTGCAGCATTTTTCATGCCTGTGCTGTGCATGGGCATCGCGTGATTACACTTAGGACCCGTTCTTGGCCGGATGCTCGCGGCCTGAAACCCGTCCCGCACAGACTGGGCACGTGTACCCTGTCGCACGGCGATCGCTCCCAGCGTCTGACTGAAAACAAGACTTTATGCGATGCCTGCGACACAGCGAAAAGCCATAGCCTGCGGGAACAGTTCGCTCCCAGCCCATCAAACTGATCAGCATTTTAACAGCAGGACAGAACAGAACTCAAGCCAAAGACACTGATGTGAGGGTCTCATGCAGCCAGAGGACAGGAGTCTCAGAGGTGAGTGGTCAAGGCATCAGAAATAGGGGACATGTGGCAGGCAGGCAAAGGGGTCTGGCATCCTTAGCAAGAAGATAGGGGGGCTTAGCACGGAAGCCTAAGCAGGTGGCCCCTTGTCCTCGAGGACAGGAGGGTACAGACACACGGGTTCCTCAACCTGCTCCCCTCGGCAACGCCGGCTGCACACCACTCATCGAGCACAATCGGACAGGACAGACAATGGCCACCGCTCGACCCAAAGCCTGACTGCGGCCCTTAGAGGCACGTGTCTGGGCCCCCACAGGCCAACCACCGAGGGTCACGGCAGCCTGCTTTCCCTCCAGAGCCGCGTTTGTGGGGGAGCTGCCCTCCACTGTGCTCTGGCTGCCTCTGAGGGTGCTCCTTATGGGACTGCAGCCGGGCGGGGAACATTCTAGCAACAGAGCAGAATCCCCTCCGATGCTGCCCACTGCTTCCTCCCAAGCACCAAGCAGAGGGAGAAGGGACTCGATCCGCACCAAGCCAAGCCCTTCCCTAAATCACCAAAATGCTCGTGGGAAACAGACCAAAGATTCACATGGTTAATCTAAAAAACCCAGAGCAGACAACAGCCAATGTCACTTTCCAGCCGGCCACGGCCACCC